GAAAACCGGCAAGTCCAATTGCTTTGATATATTATACATATAGGTACTACATGTGGACCTCTCTCAGATTTGTTCATTTTCTAATGATATCTTCTGTTCTTTAATTGCCATGTGCATTGCTAACAGCGGAGCTATCTCAGCCGACAGGCTGCTTGTTTTGTTCTCTTTGTATGTATGCCGTCTGGTTGACAAGAATTGATTGTTCATGCACACAGATAAACGAATGGCGATGTTAGCTGCTGTTGTTACATAATATACATACTGTAAAATACTTTATTTTAATAGCTGGAATTAATTTTCGCTGAATAGACATTTTGGGTGTTTTGTATGGAATTTATTTTCACTGATTGTTGATGTGTTGAGTGTGAAATAAAGGAAAAATGTATATTCGCTAGATTTTATTTTCACTGAATTATTCCTCCAGCAAAAATAGCGAAAATTAATGTCCATGTTAATAAAACAAATTACAGGTAATGTCACGACTGATCACAAACTTGTGCTGATCAGTCACATTAGTTATTAGCTTGCTGGTTGGCAAAACAAATGACGTTGCATTGCAACAGTCTGTATTTACTCAGGTAACTTATTACCTTCGCATTTCACCGAAATTTCTATGCTTTTTTGAGAAAAACGCGAGTTCAATCAAGTGGTTAGATTATTAGATTTATTAGAACCAGAATTTTTTATGTAAATCACTCTGGCGACGAAAAATGTGCTAATAGCCAAGGGGTGAAAAACTGCAGTTCCCAAATATATTCTATGTATTTATAGTGTCTGATAATAGTCAGAGAAACTAGCAACACTTTTTAAAATTGGTCAGCCGACCCGAACGTTATCGAAATGTATCCCTGCTTTAGGTAATATTTATTTTACAATCCTTTACGCTAACAGCTTTTAGCTTTTGTTAAAAAACGCGACTTTACGTGATTATGTAATTGAGGCACATTTAATTATTTTTTTCTCTTGGATTGATTGATACAACTTCTGTTGTAATTTTTCTACATGTTTTGCATTTGTTGTATTTTTCCACACATATGGGCATGTCTTACTGTCACTATCCCTCCCTCTGGGAATTAGGTTACATCAAGTATGTGAAAAAATGCAAGAAAGTATGAATAAAAAGAGGGCGTGATTATCTCAAAAAACAACCCCCCTCTAGTGGCAGTTGGAAATTGTAACTGATAAAATTGCCATGATTTATCAAACTTTTTTAATTAGAAAATTGTTACCCCCCCCCAAATGAATTGAAACATAAACGTCGGTTATGGTAGTTTGTGTTTAGCCTTGCCTCCCATGCTTGATTTGATGTGTTAACAATAATGTCCAACCTGGATTCTGATCTTCTTGACTTTTGACAGCTTTGAACAATTCTGCATCAATTACTGCAACGAGAAACTGCAGCAGTTATTTATTGAATTAGTGTTGAAACAAGAACAGGAAGAGTACAAACGTGAAGGAATCGAATGGACAGACATCAAATATTTCAACAATAAAATCATCTGTGATTTAGTTGAACAGCATCACCGCGGTATCATATCAATCTTGGATGAGGCGTGTTTGACAGTTGGCAAGGTTACAGATCAGGTAAGTGATGCTCATTTGTTTGACCAACCTGTATCTGATACAAGTCCCTGTACATGCTTGATCCACCGCACACTGTGTAAGCTTTCAAATGGCTCTTCATTTAGAAGCAATTATAGGAAATGGAAAAACAGATTAAAATATGTATTCCACTATATTTTGTTGATCAATTGTCACCGATTTTTCACACCAATAATAGTTGATTTTCTGTGATTTGTTCAGATGTTTATTCATGCCATGGACCAGCAATTAGCAAAGCATAGCCATTATGCTAGCAGGCAACTACAGACGTCGGATAAAACTCTTGAACATAACCAAGATTTCAGAATCAAACATTATGCCGGAGATGTCAAGTGAGTACATAGGAATTATTAAATAGTGATTATGATCTTGTATTGTAAAAATATGTTGACTTCCCGTTAGTTAGAAAGTTACATGATCATCACCAAATCAAACAAACATGCGTTATTGACGGCGATGTAAATATTTTCAACACTGGCGTACCCTTTCATTTGTAGATATGATGCGATCGGTTTCATCGACAAGAACAAAGACACACTGTATCAAGATTTCAAACGATTGTTGTACAGCAGCAGTGACCCCAGTATAAAATCAATGTGGCCAGAAGGTCAGGCATCGGTCTTAGAGGTAAGACAGTCACATGTTCACACCTTTTTCCTGTTTCAAACCAGTGCTATAAGTTTTCAACCTGTTTTTGTCTTTACCAGAAATTAGTAGCCCCATTCAAAACAAAACTTGTTTGAAGTCACATGACATGCATTCATTGTGTCATATGACATGGACTGTGTGACATCATAGTGCTCATTAAAATGTTTGTTTTTTCAAATTTCTTTGCTAGTTTTGGAACTAATTGACATAATTCCATTAGGAACTTAATCAAAATTCGATTGAAAAAAAAAATAGAAAAAATTTGTTTTATTTCTTAAAAAGCTGAGAAAATGGAAGGTATCATTTTTTTGTAAAATGAACGTGATTAATCTTCAGTATATGAATAGGATATAGCTATGAAAAAAAATGCATCTTCTTTTACAGGTCACCAAGAGGCCACCCACAGCGGGAACTGTCTTCAAAACCTCTATGATTGAACTCGTCGCCAATTTGGCTCGCAAAGAACCGTACTATATACGATGTATCAAACCGAATGAACAGAAATCGGCTGTACTGTTTGACGATAAACGATGCGAGCATCAAGTTTCTTATCTTGGGCTGCTGGAGAACGTGAGAGTACGGCGTGCAGGATTTGCGTACAGACAACTTTATACAAGGTTCTTACAAAGGTTGGTATGCATGATAATATTCCAAATCAAGGGCAGATTATTTAAAGGGCTTGCATGTATAGTTTGTTATATTATAAGATCTCATTGAAAACACACTAGAACTTAATCATAGGAATGATGTATTGTTGATTGTGGATGTGATAGATATTCATTCTTACGAATAAATTTGAAAAATGAGCAGCACATTCAAAGTAGTACGGTACTAACTATTCAAAAATGCAAAAAATTTGAAGTCACTACACATTTTTTATATTTTGATGAGTGAAAGATAATAAGTAAATTACAAAAATGTAAATAAACCAGCTCCAGTTTCCATGGTAACTAAGACTTCATGATTTCCTCATAGTGTTAGACTCTACTTTGGTGGCCATTTTGAATTTAAAATTGTTCTGACACCTCTTATTACATAATCTCGTAACCTTGGAATGATTCATGTCTGTTTTGATAGATACAAGATGCTCTCCCAGTACACCTGGCCAAACTTTCGCGGTGGGAATGACCGGAAAGGAGTTGAATTTCTCCTGCGGGACAAACAGATGGAAAGTGATGTGAAATATGGAAAAACAAAACTGTTCATCCGAACACCAAAGACTATTTTCCTTCTAGAAGAAGCTCGTGCGAAATTAATACCAGGAATTGTCCTTTATATTCAGAAGGTAAGTCAGTTTTTATTATGGTTTGTTTGATATTGTCATGGAAACAAACTCTGACATTAAACTCCATGGGGTATTTCTTCGATTAATCCAATTTGGAAACGGGAAATGAAGCTTCTTGCTTTCACACTGTTACAATGATTTCAAAAAGTATTTGTGTTTGAAATAAAACATTGTTTAGAATGTGTTGTTATTTGAAAGCTCAGACAGATCATATCCATGATCCCATGGTTGTCATAGAAACTGAGGTTGTCATGGCTGTAATTATTCGTTCTAACTTGAATTACTTTGTGGTATGGTGTATTTCAGCTGTGGCGTGGTACAGTAGCACGCAGGCGTGTCCGTCAAATGAGGGCAGTCTACTTAATAATGAATCGCTATAGGCGATACAAAGCCAGATCTTTTATGTCTCAAGTGATTGAGACGTTCCGTGATGTGCAGACCTTGCCGGATTATGGCAGTTCGCTGGTGTGGCCTACGCCGCCTGCTGTGTTGATGGAATTCAAAACAGAGATGAGAAAAATGCATGTACGGTGAGTAGATTAGACAAGCTTAGGACATATTGTATCTGTGTTAGATCAGCTTTAATAACACTGATGTGATAAATGATTATGGATCATGTGGATTAGATTATATTCATCTGAACTGGAAACTATATATGCAGATTAGATGAGATTAGAAATGTTGTCTACAGATTACATGAGATTAGAAATGTTGTCTACAGATTAGATGAGATTAGAAATGTTGTCTACAGATTAGATGAGATTAGAAATGTTGTCTACAGATTAGATGAGATTAGAAATGTTGTCTACAGATTAGATGAGATTAGAAATGTTGTCTACAGATTAGATGAGATTAGAAATGTTGTCTACAGATTAGATGAGATTAGAAATGTTGTCTACAGATTAGATGAGATTGGAAATGTTGTCTACAGATTAGATGAGATTGGAAATGTTGTCTACAGATTAGATGAGATTAGAAATGTTGTCTACAGATTAGATGAGATTAGAAATGTTGTCTACAGATTAGATGAGATTGGAAATGTTGTCTACAGATTAGATGAGATTGGAAATATTATTTACACTAGATGAGATTAGAAATGTTGTCTACAGATTACATGAGATTAGAAATATTATTTACACTAGATGAGATTGGTAATCTACAGATTAGATAAGATTAGAATTGTACTCCACAAATTAGATGAGATTAAAATTGTTCTCTATAGATTAGATGAAGGTAGAATTGTTTTCATGAACATGTCATCAAATTTATAACAGCCAATATTTCGCTGGGACTCAAGAGGATTTATGTCCGAGTCACAGTGACTTTCATTAAGTTTATTTCTCAATAACTCTCTCCAACTATCAAAAGTCACTAGTTTACATCAACTCATAATCTATATGTATATTTATTTGTATAGGTGGAAGGGATACAAGATTATTACACCGCTTACCAAGGACCAAGTGAAAGATTTGAAATTGAAGATAGCAGCTATGGATGCTCTGAACGGCAGGAGACCTAACTGGGGATTTGACAAGAAATGGGAAGGGAACTATCTTGCATCTGTAAGTGTTCCCATCAAACTCTATAACTATAATTTTGCTCAAATAATATTGGATATATATTTATTAAACATTTCATACATGGGGAAACAAAATTTGATGGTGGAGATGAAAGTTGACAATGGTTAAAAAGTTGAGCAAAAAAAAAAAGAATTAAAAAAACAATTTAATTACCACTGGGAAAAAATTAAATGCACCGGGGGTAGTTTTAAGAATGAGAAGCTTAATGAAATATGCGTTGTTTTACAGGTCAGTTACAACACAGAGACGGCGCCGTTCGTGAATACTTGTAAGCAGTTGAAGTCTAAAGATAAATATAAAAAAGTCCTGTTTTCTTCTCACTGCAAAAAGGTTTGTATACTGTGTGTGCTGGATGCTTTGACTGCGTGTTCTGTGAAGATTGAACTTTGCGTGACAATTCATTATATTCTATAATTGTGGAAAAAAATTCCATATTTAAGGGAAATAATCTCATATTTGGAAAAAAACATCCCATATTAGAAAAAAATACATCCCATATTAGGAAAAATACATCCCATATTAGGAAAAATAACTTCTATAGTAACATTATGTTTTCATCCTCAGGTTAATCATCACAACAAGTCAGCAGATCGTGCTCTTTTATTCACCGACAAATTCATCTATAAACTAGACTCAAGCAAGAAATACAAAGCAATGAAAGGCGGAATACCGATTGAAACAGTAAGTCATCACGCAGCATGTTTTTGAATGTCATGTAAACAAACAATGTATTTTCACATGCATTGTATATAAAGTTGCTATATATGTATATAGGTTAATATTGTATTGGGTATTTCTTCTTGGATACATCTTTATCTCATTCGACAAACACTTGAACGACGGTACTAGGCTACATCTGCGGTGAAAACTAATATGTGTGTAGCTACATTCAAACTCTTTCGAGCAATCACACCTACATCTACATCCTGATCAGTATTATCTTCACCGTTTGTATCTTTGCAGGTAACCGGGGTAACTGTCACGCCAGGTGGCGATCAGTTGATAGCAATACATCTGAATAATGATAATGACTTGGTGGTGTGTTTGACAGACACAAATGGTGACAACAGAGTTCCTGAGTTGGTTGGTGTACTGGCACAGAGTAGGAACAAGTTAGTATTAAGCATTTCACAATTTTGTTTTCAGGTAGTTGATCATCGCGCCATGTATGGAGCATGGTAGATGCCTTTTACCACAGATGTAATTGGTCAGTTTTGAATTTTCGATGGTTGTTTATGCTTTATGGCATATGAAGAAATCATTTCTTAAACATATTATCTGTTTTGTTTGTTATGGTACTGTAAAATACTTTATTTTCGATGGAATTAATTTTTGATATTTTCGCTGAAGAAGTGATTCAGATAACACCTAGCGAGTATATCTTTTTTTCTATATTTTACATTCAACTCATCAAAAATCAGCAAAAATAAATTTTATCCAAAAAACACTCAAAAAGTCTTTTCAGTGAAAATTAATTCCAGGTAAAGTAAAGTATTTCACAGTTAAATATGATCCCTATAAACTGTAAACCAGCTCTCTTCAGCCTCCCTTCCTGAATTGCCACATGCCATCTTTGTCTGTATTGCTGTTTTTATTTTAGTACACATCTGTATTGAAAAAATGAAAATTAATTAATAAAATGTAAAATAATTTTAGATAGAATAGAATAGAAAACACAGATTATGCAAATTATTTGACCTGTGAGTTGTTATAAAGGTTTCTCAAAATTAACATTAACGTTGTTCTGACGTTACTGTTCCTCACACCGAATTCACAGACATGAATTAAAATAGTGGAGTACGTTTGAACAAAGTTGTGCCTATTATTTCAGTACACAGTGTTATTATACCAGGAAATAACTTTATAATTTTCTTTGATGTCCTTACAGAAAGAAGACGGGAATTAAAACTGACGTAGCATCTGAAGTTCATTGTCGGCTAGGCAAGAAAGCCAAATCTATTCACGTCCAGAAAGGAACCTTTCCTACAGCTGACTTCAAGAAAGAATCAAATGATTCCCTTGTATTGATGTGGCCGCAGTCTGTCTAAATCAGGAAAAACAAGAATTCATGATCATGTCTCCTGCTTGAGCTAGAATAAGAATTTTTTTTGTTAGCAATAAAGATTCATATGCTTCTGAATTTTGTTTTATGTTAAAACCTTCCTGTGAGACGGCCATCCAAGTTCAATTTGTCATATTTTAATTTTTGTGGTGAGAGATTTACAAGAACCTTAAAAACTTAATGTACCGGTAAGTTGTATTCTCCACCAGATAGAAGGCATATTTTCAGATTTCCTTCATTGTTTATCTGATTTTTTTTTATTTAAAAAGCAGCCATAATCTACAATACTGCCCTCTTTCCAAGTCCTTATGCCAAGTGGTTGGGAACACTGTCTTGCTGCATCTCAAATATGATATTATTGTACTTTGTAATTCTATTTTGCCAAAAAAAAAAAGGTTTTTGTCTTTTTTAAGAAGTTATTTTCAAAGTTTTATTAGAATTGATGGTGATGTAGGAAAACCAAAAAAGTATGCAATATTCGTGTTTTATTATAGATCATTTAGGTCGTCAGTTCTTGTGAATGAAAGTTGCTTGTATACGTAGTAATCTTTTGCAGTGTCAATTGTGACTTCCTTCCTTAACTCAATGTTGAAATATTGAAATTTAAATGATCAATGAAGATTGATCAATGTTCAATTCGATCTGTTTTAATCAAGCATTTACATTTAAATTACAGTGGATGTCAATTAGTTGTATACACAATTTTCACAGAAAATGTCTGCAAATAGATTTTTATTTCTACCTCCATCTATCTATCATGCTCACCGTATGCTCACTGTAAGTAGGTGTTTTGTAAGTTTTAGCGGTTGTATAGAAAATAACAAATTTTATATAATTATGTATGTAAAAAAAATAGCTTTGTATAAATATAAATTATCTATGAAAATTAAGAAAAATTATAAAAAAATGTATTTATGAGATTATGTGTAATGTTTTATATTAATATCCTTTAAATTTAGTGATTTTCGCACTTTATTGGTTTCATACTTATATTTTTATTTTAAAAAGTTCTTCCTAATTGGCTGTCCAGTCTAAAAAATGTAATGTTTATCTTGTAAGTGTCCAATCACAGAAGCTGTTTTATGTTGCGATTGACCAATGAAAAACATTTTTCTTTAAACTATTTTTATCGTGAAATAATTGACTTTTCTGCTAGTCGAGTCAGCATTAAAACAAAAGCAGAGTTTATTTTGCATATTACCCTGTAGAGGGCGTATTCCATGTGTAGTTGGACCAAAAATAAGGAGATTTTCCAATTTGAAAATAACTTCATGCTTTTAAAGGTGCAATATGAAAACATCTATTTTATTTAATATTGTTCAATATTCAACACTAGACAAAAATGGAATATAATTTATCATGAACTTAAATGTTGCATTTGCAGGACAAAGAAACACACAATGGTTTACAGTATTTGTTTGATGATGAAATCAACACCACTATTACACATGTGCTGTGATTGTACGAACCAAAACAACCAGTGCACATGCATATTAGACATCGTCATTGTTTCATTGAACAAATACTCTGATGTGAAGAACAGAGTTTTTATGTCATACATTATATGTAATCATCAATACATACAATAACAAACAACAATATTAAAAATGTTCTCATCCATATTGCATCTTTACGTTTTCTCATAGATTTACATTATGAGCTAACATTTCCTTTTAGTTTTGTGATTTGTTTTATACAATCATGTTATTTTCAAATTTAAACACAACTTTTGTTGATTGTTTTGATTGAGCAATATTTTAAAGTGACAATAGCTGCAACTTTTTTCCCTAAATTTATTTTAATAAAACATTTTCAGTGCCAATTTGTAACGGTCATCCCCGAATGTGGATATGTACTATATCTAGCATATAGCATTATGTACCAATGTTATACGTTTAAGTTACTTGCAAGTGAAAAAAAAGATGGCCACAGGGTTACGCCCTGTTCTCCAGAGGGCGCCATTTATTGAAATACAGTTTTGTCAAGAACACTGACAGGATGACAAACTTACATTGCCATCTTGCGGGGCTAATCCTTTCTCTAACAGTCTCATGGATTGTATGTTTCATTTCCCATAATAGTGGGGTTCCATGCATCATAATTTTCTATAGTGTGCATGACATGAAATGGTAACAAATCGACCCTTAGTTTTCAAAACAAATGTGTGTCCTTAGCCATGTGCAGGGTCACTTTGTCCATGAAATTGTGTCTGAAATTATATTTCGGTAATATTTGGTCATCTCTATGTTCAAAATCACAGCTATTATCACTTTGATTATTGTTTAATCTTTTACTTCTGGTAAGATGCGATTAGTTATAACTTATGACTAATTGCTGTAGCTGGAAATATGATCACCAGTAATTATCAATGAAATAAGTTGACTTTCATCCATTCTCCAAGCATTTTCGTTTTCGCCTTTTGTAAATGAATCAGTCTCTGCCACAGTCAACATTTTTTCACCCAATTGTGTTTTTTTTTTCCAAAATTCATATTTGAGTATTTTGACAACACAAGAGTATATACCGGTAAATCAATAAGCGAATGTTATAAATAACCACAAACACACACAAAAATTTGGTCTTTTCAGGAGTTACAATGATGTGTATGAGCCACACTTTCCGTAAAACATTCAGTGTGAGGAATGCGTCAATGCGATTCACAATGTAATTTTGTGAAAAACAATGCGGATAACAAAGCAGAGTAATTGTAAACTGTTAAAGTAAGCTTCTGATAATTTGTCTTCCTAGTGTTTTTGAATAGCAATAGACGTGTTCTTGTGTCAGTGACTGATTAGATACATTCCATGCTTGTAGAAATGTCTTCTCGTTTTAATTTTATCACATTGTTTTTTCCAGAAATGTTTGCCATTTAATATTGCAATATTTTTTACACAAAAATCACCCCATGTCTGAAGAATTTTCACTACAAAATTTAATAATCTTCCCGTTTACTCATGATTTCATTCCATATTCAAGGTTGGATTCATATGCTCAGTCAAAGCATGAATAAATTAATAAACTTTTGCTTGTAATCGCATGCATGTATTTTAAATCATATTACAAATGATAGAAAAACAATATTTTCCAATTATGCATAAAAATTGAGTAATAAAAGTCACTGGTTTCGTGCAACTACATTAAGTACATGTAGGCAGCAGGGACCATATTTATTTCTAGGTGCATATCAGTGTAGTTGATTGTGCCTTTGTGAGGGAGTATGCAATTCCAAACAGCGCCCTCTCAGCTCATTGATGCAATTTCTTTTGAGTGGTCGACGCATATTCAAAAACAGTTTTCAGTGGAACACTTGTTATAACAGTGTGGGTGATTGTAATGTTTTATGCTTGTCACATTTTTTTTAAAATTATGCATGTGCTTTAATTGCTCATGATTTATTTACAAATCTTTACTAATAAATAAAATCACTAAAGTGGTAAATTTAATGCCAGTGTTTCCCGGGTGTTCTATTACAGACATCTTTGCTATATTTGTGTCTTGTTGGCTGTTAGTGATGAAAACAGGATGGTGGGGGTTGTGAGGTGGGTGGGGTTGGGGGTGGTTAAGTATTGTTTTATTCAAATAAATAATGCTTTTAAACAATTTTAAAAATTATTTGTGCTTATTGCTATAAATACTGAATCATTATTTTATCATAATTTAAAAAATGTTTTTGTTGCACTCAAAATGGTGCCCATTTTCAGTGAAAGTACACATGCATGTAATAAATTTATTTTTGTGGTACGTACCACTAATTTAAAACAAATATGCTCTATTTTCAACTACAGCATATTAAGAAATTTCCAAAAAAACTTGCCATTAAACATGCTGATTGATTGCATTTCATTTCTGGCCAAAATATTCAGAATTTCAGTTTTTAGTACCCGTTCAGATGCAGTCTGAAAACGAGGACTTATGTTTTGACCTCTGTGTGTCCGTGTGTCCGTGCGTGCTTTGACTTATTATATTTAAACTTTATATATTCGTTATACATCATGTTATATATATACATGTAATCAAAATGGCTGATTTTGAATGCTGTTCCAGAGCAATATCTCTCAATATGGACAAGTACTTGTTTGACGATCAGATACAAATGTCAATCATTTTAATTTTAATTTTAATTTTAAAAAATCATATTCCTGACATGGTTATATTCCAGCTATATAAATAATAAACAAAACTATATAAACTATAAACAAAACTATATATCTTAAATTTGATAACTAACGGGGACTGTGCCATGCATGGCTTGTTTATTTAAGGCTGCTTATCCAATCTTTGCTTTTAGCTTCTTGAATTCAAGAAAAAAGTTACCCATCGCCTCTGGATTTGAAATAATTGTATACTATTTCTTGCAGAGGCTCATCTGTCTCCATCTCAAATATGTAGAGTACTCTCTTCAGGTTTGCATGTAAATCTGTAGCATCTTCATACCTCGTAGCTGCAACACCCAACCGATTAAAGTAGGCGATCACCAACTGTAATTAATGAGTAGTGGCGGAATTGAAAATATCTTGTTTTAATAAAATACAATTCAGAGTTTGCATATGACTCAACTGGATGAACTGAATCACATGTGTATGAATAGCGCCCTCTATCATCACACCTATGCATAGACGATACATATACTGTACTCCCAAGTGAGAGGGGTTTGCAAAATGTACATATTTTGATGGCTAGGGAGAAAAATAATTTTGATAAATCTTGTTTAATAATGTTTCACTAGGTTTTGATAGTTGCTATGCTATAAAAAAAAAACACTAATTTATAACATTCAGTAGTCTTTATCCACTCCCCTACCCCCAAAAAGCTAAAATATATTATTGTAATTTCTGTCACATCTGATTCACATGTGATGCTAAATATCAAATTAAAAAAAAAAATCTGCCACACCCTTAGTAAAATAAAATACCTGAGGAAAATTATGTCTAAGTAACAGCGCCATCTATCCCATATTCTGATTTAGTACTTCCTCACCAGTGTTCATTAAATAATGACTTTAACCATAGACTCAATAATACATCTATTGTGGTGTCTTTGCTATATCCCAGTCATTAATAAATAAATCGCTTTGATCTGTAGAATACAAGAAACTGCACGTATTTATATTATAATTATGTTTTTATGATTTGTATTTTATAATTTATATACACAAGTACTCAACAAATTATAGTGAAATTTAATAAAATAATATTTGGTATTTATTAATAATTTGACACTCTACTGTACTTAAGTACCCAGGGATGGAGGTCCAAAAAAAAGAGGAAAATTC